TGACCAGAGTAGACCAGGCCAGACTAGACCAGGCCAGACCAGACTAGACCAGACTAGACCTGACTAGACCAGGCCAGACCAGACTAGACCAGGCCAGACCAGACTGGACCAGACTAGACCAGACTAGACAAGGCCAGACCAGACTAGACCAGACCTGACCAGAGTAGACCAGACCAGACTAGACCAGGCCAGACCAGACTAGACCAGACCAGACCAGACCAGACTAGACCAGACCTGACCAGAGTAGACCAGGCCAGACTAGACCAGGCCAGACCAGACTAGACCAGACTAGGCCAGACAAGACCAGGCCAGACCAGACTAGACCAGGCTAGACTAGACCAGGCCAAACCAGACTAGACCAGTCTAGACTAGACCAGGCCAGACCAGACTAGACCAGACCAGACTAGACCAGGCCAGATCAGACTAGACCAGACCAGACCAGACTAGACCAGACCTGACCAGAGTAGACCAGGCCAGACTAGACCAGGCCAGACCAGACTAGACCAGACTAGACCAGACTAGACCAGGCCAGACCAGACTAGACCAGGCCAGACCAGACTAGACCAGACTAGACCAGACTAGACCAGGCCAGACCGGACTAGACCAGACTAGACCAGACCTGACCAGAGTAGACCAGGCCAGACTAGAAAGGGCCAGACCAGACTAGACCAGATATGACCAGACTAGACCAGTCCAGACCAGACTAGACCAGGCCAGACTAGACCAGGCCTGACCAGACTAGACCAGACCTGACCAGAGTAGACCAGACCAGACTACACCAGGCCAGACCAGACTAGACCAGACTAGACCAGACTAGGCCAGGCCAGACCAGACTAGACCAGACCAGACCAGACTAAACCAGACCTGACCAGAGTAGACCAGGCCAGACTAGAACAGGCCAGACCAGACTAGACCAGATATGACCAGACTAGACCAGACTAGACCAGGCCAGACCAGACTAGACCAGGCCAGACTAGACCAGGCCAGACCAGACTAGACCAGACTAGACCAGACTAGACCAGGCCAGACCAGACTAGACCAGACCAGACCAGACTAGACCAGACCTGACCAGAGTAGACCAGGCCAGACTAGACCAGGCCAGACCAGACTAGACCAGATATGACCAGACTAGACCAGACTAGACCAGGCCAGACCAGACTAGACCAGGCCAGACTAGACCAGGCCAGACCAGACTAGACCAGGCCTGACCAGAGTAGACCAGACCAGACTAGACCAGGCCAGACCAGACTAGGCCAGACCAGACTAGGCCAGGCCAGACCAGACCAGAGAGAGAATGGCCTTGCTTCCCTTCGTAATTACCAGCCGTGATATACACCAATTAATCACGTTCGGAACGTGATATTATTCATGTGTTCTATAATTCTTATTGAGACTGCGTCCTATAATCACCAAGTATCAGCATGACGCACACGCACGCACGTGCGTGTGCGTCATGCGTGCGTCACTAATAAGTGAAGGTAAGTCTTCGTAAGAGAGACGTTATTAAGACGTTAACCACCAGCTACTGCCTGATACAATAATAATAATAATAATAATAATAATAATAATAATAATAATAAATGACGTAATCAGGTGGTAGCAGAAGCACTGTCTTATGAAGCAGGTAATTAGGTGATTATAAAGTAGGTAATTAGGTCATTATGAAGCAGGTAGTTAGGTCATTATAAAGTAGGTAATTATGCCATTTTGAAACAGGTAATTAGGTCGTCAGGAAGTAGGTAATTAGGTGAGCGTGAGATACTTGCGCTAATGAACAGTAAGCCAGACAACCCGGGCTTTATGCACCAGTTATTCTCTATCAGTATTGTGGTTTGTGAATTGTTCCAGCCACTTTATTGTGGGTTGTGAATTGTTCCAGCCACGGTATTGTGGTTTGTGAATTGTTCCAGCCACGATATTGTGGTTTGTGAATTGTTCCAGCCACGGTATTGTGGTTTTGTGAATTGTTCCAGCCACGGTATTGTGGTTTGTGAATTGTTCCAGCCACGGTATTGTGGTTTGTGAATTGTTCCAGCCACGGTATTGTGGTTTGTGAATTGTTCCAGCCACGGTATTGTGAGTTGTTCAAGCCACTTTATTGTGGGTTGTGAATTGTTCCAGCCACGATATTGTGGTTTGTGAATTGTTCCAGCCACGGTATTGTGGTTTGTGAATTGTTCCAGCCACGGTATTGTGGTTTGTGAATTGTTCCAGCCACGGTATTGTGGTTTGTGAATTGTTCCAGCCACGGTATTGTGGTTTGTGAATTGTTCCAGCCACGGTATTGTGGTTTGTGAATTGTTCCAGCCACGGTATTGTGGTTTGTGAATTGTTCCAGCCACGGTATTGTGAGTTGTTCAAGCCACTTTATTGTGGGTTGTGAATTGTTCCAGCCACGGTATTGTGAGTTGTTCAAGCCACTTTATTGTTTACCTGGAGTTTACCTGGAGAGAGTTTCGGGGGTCAACGCCCCCGCGGCCCGGTCTGTGACCAGGCCTCC